GGGAAGTTACCACAGTCAGCCTGGTTTCCCTGGACAAATGGCAGACGGTACATTACTTTTAATTAATGAGGCAAGTATCAAGAAGACTAAAATCTATGATTCTAAACCTGCAGAAATTAACACGAGGCAAGAGAAGAATAGAAAAGCTGTAAAACTGGGTGAGAAACAAGCGTGTGGCTCATGAACAAGAGTCAGTGGTGATAAAATTCACAAAACAAGAATCTTGGAAGCGGAGGAAGGATGGAATCAGCAGGCAGCTGTGAAAAGAAAAGGTGCCAATAGGTTTCTCTCATCATTGAGTCGGGAACCATAAGATTTTTATTTTGAAGCCAGTAATTGCAATAGGGATGTATTTTCTTTTCCTGTCTTTAAACAAAGAGGGTTGGATGTCAAATCGAAAGGTTTGGCTGTATATATCTATGTATAACTGAATCACTATGCTGTACACTAGAAACTGACACAACATTGTAAATCAACTATAATCCAATGTTTAAAAAAAAAGGTTTAGCTGGCTAGAAACCATGTCAGAGGGAAAATAGCTATCTATGTTGTACAAAGTGTCACAATCCCAGAGGTACAAGTGGTATAATTGTTCCATGTATCTGAATAGCTCTTTTCTCATAGGCAGGCAAAGCTACTGTCTTTCTTTTCTTTTCTTTTCTTTTTTTTTTTTTGTCCAAGGGGAGAGCAATCCCTTATTACTGAGATTGAAATCTAGTGGCGTCTACAGTAACCGATGGATTGGTACGGGCAAGTCCAAGAAGTTCTAAGAGAGGCAGCCCTCACTCTCCTGAGGGGCAGAGACAGGGCCAGTGGGTCAAGCTGCAGGAAGTGGGGGATGCCAGGTCGTGCGTGGTCAGGGGCTGGCTCCAGACCAGCTACGGCATCTCTCAGCCTTGGGCCTGGCTGTGGGAGCCCCAGCTCCCCATGCTCTGAATCATGAGGAACAGCCACTGCCTCCCCTCCAAAGGTCCGATGACAAGGACACACGTCAGGCTGGTAGCCATGAACCCCGTCTTCAGCTCAGTGAACGTCTGGCTGTGCGTCTCGATGCAGTGGAGGTCGGTGTCTAGGCGGCCAAAGATGAACTGCTCCTGCTCCTCTTCTATGTAAAATTCTAAAGGAAAGTTAAAGTTTTCAGGAAAGACCCACTATGACTTGATCTCCATGTCCTGAACCCCTCCTGCCTGATGCTGAGCAGGGGCAAGTTCAAGTAACTTCTCAGAATAGGGCTTAGAAGAAATCCCAAAGCTACTTATTTCTTGAAACGTCTAGAAAAAATATCTGGCACTGTGGTTCTCTTTCTCATTTTCTTTCTCCCTCTCGGTTGAACTTCAAATCTGAGGTTTCCAAGTTGTACCTAGATTTCAGCGACGACCAACCACGCCGCTGTAAAAGGGGTGGGGACCTCTCTGATGTGGCAAGCTTCTCTTTTATAAAACGCTTCCGAGTCACTACATGGTTGTTCTAGTTGTATAAGTCGCCAAATTAAATATGGTGTGACTATTTGAAAGTGAATTTGTTTATGGCTTGGACCCTTCTGTGCCCATCATTAGGATACAGAGCTCCAGTGTTTTCTCTGTCCAAATGTGGAACTTACAGAGTTATGGTTGTTGTTGGTATTTAGAAATAATCATAGCAATCATTATAGTTTCATTAGAATAAGAGAGTTTTCATTTGAAACTTGATCTGTTTGACTGACATCATTCTGCAAATAGAATTAATGTCAAAATCTATATAATTGGGGTGAGTAGCTGTCCTGGTTTGCAGAGGCCTGAGGTGGTTCCCAGAATGTGGGACTTTCAGTTTGAAAATGGAAAGGTCGTGGGCCAACCAGGAGAAGCTGATCACCCTACTAATGCTCAGTGATGTGCTTGATTCTCTCCAAAAAAAACACTAAGAAGTAGGCATTATTTTCCCCATTTCAGGTAAGGGAACCGAGATTCAGAGGCTGAAGCAATGTCCCGTACAGCGCTATGGTGGGTCTAGGTCTGTCTGGCCCCAAAGCTTGTCCTCTGAACATCTCCACTGTCAGGCTTTTGATACACAGGTTTAAGAAATTGCCCCTCTGTACTTGAGATGCAAACCATACATATTCTGTGGCTATTCTGGGAATGACTGTTTTGTGGCCTTTGATTCTTAAACAGGCTGGAAAATGAAGAATCATCCGACTATTGAAGGTTTGCTTAGATCTTTCAGCTTGGGAAGGCAGACTGAAACACTGAGCAGAGCACTTTCTGTGTAGAATCTTTAATAACTTTTTGTGAAATCCTGCCAGTGACTCTAAAGAAAAGCAGTTACGCCATTGGGAACGTTTACGTTTCCATTCTGGAAAGCTCTCTTACTGCCCACCCGTTTGAGAGGAATGCTGCCCTCACCTTGGCTCATTTTAAATACAGCCTCTGTGTTACCATTCCACGTCTCAGTCCTCTAAGCTTTTCTGCAATAACACCTGAAATGGAAATCAAATGGATTTAGCCTCAAAATTGCCACACTTTTCTTTAGGAAACAGAATTGGTTGTGGGGCTTTATGAATTCTCTGCTTTGAGGGGAAAGCAAACCCATAAAAGTCACTGCTAGCCCAGTGCCAGTTCCAGCTTGGAGGAGCTGAGTGTACGACTGAGTCCTCAGGCAGCACTGACTACTGATTGTTAAAGCAAGGATGCGCTCACACATGTGGTGTGCTTATTCGTTCATTCATCCATTTATTCAACGGAAGTTAAATTGAGGGCCCGCAATGTCTCAGACTATGCTAGGCACTGGGAACTTGAAGAGGAAAACAATGAATTCCTATCTCATGAAATCAATAGATAAGACTAAAGTTGCATACAATCAAAATGATCCTTAAGCATCAAATTACCCATTGAGTATTATCTGAGGTCAGGTTCCCTGGAAGCAGAGCCTGAGATGAGGATTCTTGTGCAAGTAAGTGAGTGAAAGAGTAGTATTGGGTGGAACCCGTACAGTAGTAGGGGATGCAGGGTTGGGGCAGAGGACTGAGTTCAGCAAATACGTGAGCTCAGCTGAACACTGTAGTGCAGCCTTAGCCTGACCCCACGGGGAGCTCTGGGACGTGCAGGGCATCATAGATTTACACCCCTGAAGGCAGAAGGGCCAGCCTTTTATATTCCCAACCATCAGGCATTGGCTTTGGGCTGTCTCTAGGAAGTAGGGTGTGCCCGCTTTTGTATTTCTGGGTGAGGTGGCTCTAGTCAGACGAGGGCAGTTCTCAAAAGAAGGGTGCAGCTATGAGTGGTTAGCAGCCAAAACCCAAAGCAGCTAATGGATGGATGCACCAGCCAAGTAAAGAGAATCGGAGAGGGGCGTCACCAGAAGCTACACACAGGGTGTAGGTGACATGTTAGAAAATGCATATCATTTGTTAATAAATACACCAGAGCAATTAATCTTTCTCCAGTGGTGCAACAGTCCAGCATTTCCTGAGATGCACTACTGACGAAGTAGATGGCTTGTGTTCAGGGACCATGTTGTATGAAAAATATGTATCTATCAACCCTAGACTCTCACCCAGCATGGGGAGATGCTCCCACAACTTGAGTGACTATTTTCCAGGAAGCAGTTGTCATTATATGGGATGTCATTATACGGGATGTTCATTGGGAAGTGCTCTGTCCACACTCGTGGGAGAGGGGCTGGAAGCAGGAGTGGGCAGAGGGAGAAGTGGAGCCACAGTACAGGCCTGACCTCAGCCTGCGCTGCACCCACCCCAGGGGGAGCTCTGAAGCGTCATTTGGCAGTGCTTTACCAAGGCTTTCTATGCACTAGGTTGACATTAGAGACTCAGCAGAGCAGCCTATGAGGAGTATATGGGCTTGGGTCTTTGTGGGTCATTCTTCTTGCTTCTGTGTGTGTGCATGTGCATGTAACAATCTCAAGAGATTACTGCAAATATGAGGGCCTTTGGGTTATTTCCTAGTAACCTGATTCACCGTGTTAAACTTTTTAACAGGCTAAAAGAGATGCTAAGCGAACGTCTGCAAAGGAAGTCACCATTAATGTCCCAGACAGCATCCGACAGGTGGACCGAAGTCGAAGAATCACAAAGAACTGTGTCAACTAGCAGAGTGCAATTGAAGGGCAGATGGGCTTCGCTGGTGCCCTTCACATCCTGGATCCATCGAGGAACCTTGAAGAAGTGGGTGGCCCTGGCCGCACTGGCCACTGCCTAGTGCCTTGGGAGACCCTCACCCGGCAGCCACCCGCTGCCAGAGCTGTTGGGATGTTCTCAGCCTCCTGTCTATCATGTAAATGTGTAGGGTAATAAACTGCCGATGTGTGTTAGTTAGGTTGGCCTCTTGCAACTCCTGCAGTGTGGTCTGATGGAAAAGCGGTGAGCTAAAGTCACAGGCCGGTTTAGGAAACAGGGAGGCAGAAGCGGTGGTTCCTGGCTGAAGGAGAGTTGGTTCTGAGCTCTCCCGGCTGCAGTGGTGTGCCCTGTCAGGAAGCGTATCCTTTCATTCTTCCTTTCAAATACCGCCATCAAAGCTTACCGTGTTCACTTAAAAGCTGGCTCCCACCCAACTCTAAGCCCATACAAATGTTTCCTGTATGAGAAGTCAAGAAACAGGAAAACTCTGTTATTCTTGTTTCCTTAGCTCAGTCTGAGACAGATTCAGATCCAGTTTTACACAGACTAACCCCACCAACACCCAGGGCATGTCCCAGGGAGGCCTCTGTGATGCAGTCACACCATTTCTCATCTCCCTTCAACGTCCCCCACGCCGGCACCCTCGTCAGCCTCTGAACCGTAATGGCACAGTCATGGTCAGTGCGTCCCATCTCCAGGCTCAGCAGACATTGCATTTTTCCAGCTTTCCACTTCCCTCTGCTTGTGTTCATGAGCGGTTTTTCTCTCCAATCAGGTCATTTGCAATTGTTAGTCAGAGGCCAGACACTGCTCAGAAGAGGGAGGAAATCCGAACACGTCAGCTTCCCTTGGCCTCTCAGCACACGGCCCCAGGACTGCGTCATTTTGGTATCTAAAAGGAATCATTTTAGAAAGTCAGTACCTGGTCGGTGTGTGGTCACACTGACATTAGATTGACATGCTCTGTGTTAGAAATCAGGTAACTGATAGAAAACTGTAAAATGATTATAAATCAATAAAAAATGTTTAAAAAAAGAAATCAGGTAGCTGAGGCAGAAAAAAATTTTTTTTGATAGAAATAAAATTTTCTAGCATTTCTTTAAACATGTTAAGTTGGAAGTATTTTCCTCCAAAGTAATGTAGCATGATTTTTAAAGGACTGTTAATATGCCAGCGACTGGGAAAGGTAGGACTAAAGTTGTACCAAATGACATCAATAAACTTCATGTTTAGCAGAAATAGGCAGCCTGATGGTGTGTGTTTATCTAACATGGTCCAGAGAATTGACACCAGCGGGTTAAAGATTCAGATACTCAGCCTCCTTACCTGTCAACTCTGTTATTTCTCAGACACAAGTGGGCAATGTCCTTCCTTCCTTCCTTCCTTCCTTCCTTCCTTCCTTCCTTCCTTCCTTCCTTCCTTCCTTCCTTCCGTTGATTGTATATTTATTCATTAAACATTAAATGCCAACCCTGTGTCAGGTACCATGTGGATGCTGAGAGGTTTGGAGTCTGGCCAGTCACGACTGTATATCCTGACTCTGGCAGTGAACTTCATAACCAGGAGAGTGGCTTAGATGCAGTGAGAATTGGTCTGCAATGTAATCTCACTTTTATATTCAGGATAGATTTCTTCCCCAAACTCCAGATCTGGGCATTCTCCTAACCACTGTACAAGCCTTTACCAACCACAAAACTACAGTTTTCTCAAACCTTTATCATTTTGTGATTCTCTGAGAAAGGGCTTTTCGGGAACTTCATGTTCCAAAACTTAAATAAAATAAAATAAAGCAAAGCCTGTGGCTCCCATGTCCCCTCTAGCATTACTCAGCAGGAGCCACCAACTGCCAAAGGCTGGCACTGATCCTGCAGGTTCAAGGGCTCGCTGTCCCAGGGCACGTGCACTGTGCTTTTGTGCTAGTGCTCCTTCACCACTCACTGTGCTGCCAGCCACGGGCTAAGCCTCATTTCTCTTTACAACCTTGTGTTTGCGTCACTTAACCGCTGCACGTTGTTTGGAATTTATCAACTTGAGAGTGTGTCTCTGCTTTATATAGAAACAGTTTCTCACTTCTGGAGGAGAAGGGAATGCAGGGTATGTATGATCTTCCCCTCTCCAGAACAATCTGGATTTCACCAAGACTGGAAGTCAAACCGTGTTACTGGAACTTTTTCATGTGTGTATGATACAGAAACTGATTCTTACTGTCCTCTTAGTGGAACGCTTCCTATTGCAAAGTTTGTGTCAATAAAGTCATGAATTTCAAACATATGGACAGTTACAGAGAATCTTTACTGGACCCCTTAAATTTGTATGTAGAGCTGCTTAGATTTTTTTTTCTTTTTAAACAAAGGGCTTTTACATAATCCTCCAAAAGCCTTGTGAAATAGGCAAGAAGAACACTATTAGCCCCCATTTACAGATTAAAAAGTATTTATGGTCCATTCAACCAGTAAGTGGCAGAGCAGGGACTCAAGTGAGGGAAGTTTACCTGCAAATCCAGTGCTTTTTTGATCGTATCATATGAGGCCTTTCCCAGCAGGAAGGTCTAGCATGGCTGGGTGACTCATTTGAAGGGGAATTGTCACAGAGCTGAGATTAAGCTGATCCCAAGTCTAAGAGGGTGACAGCAGTGATAAGATCTCCCCAAATAGGAGAGGGCTGGTGGGGTCCTGGGGAGTTTGGGTCTGGCCAAGCTCCCTTATCCCTCCAGAGATGGTGACTGACCTAGTGTGAGAGGGCATCTTGGGAGAAGAAAGAGGAGAGACTTCATGATTCAGAGAAGATTGAAATTGCACCCCCTCAGAAGAGCACCTAAAGGTGACAGAAGCCATGGCAGCCAAAGCCTGAGCCCTCTCTGGGAGCACAGGCAAAGGACTATACCTGCTCATCCTTTCCCAGCTGCCACCTCCCCTGTGCTCCCAGTGCCCGCTCACCCCTACCCGCCCAGGCCACCTGAACACACTCCTCACACTCCTTGTCTGAGCCCTGCTAACTGTGTATGACCCCTACTTACCCTACTCACTGGCTGCCCCACATGCCACAGAAATGTATCCCATCCACATTTGCTCCCCTAAGCAGGGTTTGCAAAACTGGCAGCTCTGCTGAACCAGATGGCATGTGTGCTTTGTTTGGTTGTTATGGTGTTAAAACTTGAGAATTTCACAGAAAAGTCAGCTCCGGGAGAGATTTCTAGGTTCAAACTCCAGTATCCATTCTCTTCTTCCTTAGTTGGGTGCACCCCAACTCAGAATAAAGATTATACTTTCTAGCTTCCTTCAAAGTTAGGAGTAGCTACATGATTAAGTTCCGGCCAATAAAATGAATGAGTGAGGAATAGAAGCTTCCAGGAAATCTCTTTACAAAAGAAGATCAGGCCCTTTCCCCCATTTTCTCCTCCTGCTTCCTGGAATGAGGAGGTAACGGCTGGAGTCACAGCAGTCCCCAGGGTCATGAGGCGAACTTGGGAATGGAAGACATGCTATACTGGCAGCAAGTTAGAAGAAGCCTGGGTCCCTGATTCCACTGAGCCTCCATGAGCCCAGGACTGTACAGTCCAGACATTTTTGTGAGAGAGGGAAATACACTTGTACCTTTTTCAGGTCATTACTCACAGCCAAACTTAGTTCTAATTGATACACAAACTTTCTAACTTCTTTCGAAAACTTGGAAGATCTTTCACTCCTGGGCCCTTGTTGTCACATACAGTCAGCTGGAGCTGATAAGGCTGTGTTAGCTGAAGCAGGGGGGTCTCTAGGCTGTGAGGCCCCCACCACTCATTGTGGCTAACACATGGCAGCCTCACAGTTTGTGTTACCTGAGAAGCCCTGAGACAATTGTTTGCAACCCCTGCTCTAAATTGTGTTCCCAATATATTGTTTTCATGTTCTTTTCAGGAGTTATCAAAATATAGAAGGTCCTTTTAGCCCATCCCACCCTTCTGGGAAGTCAATCTCAGGAGAATGTTTTGAGTAGGCAAATTACAGACATGATTTAATGTTCAAAATTCTGTATTCACTTCTTTCATTTACTCCATATGGATTTCTCAAGAGGCTTCAATGTGTCAGAAGGTGGGATAGAGTGAGGAATAAAATAGACTTGGCTCCTGCCCCCGTGGAGCTGGCATTCTAGTGGAGGAAACAGACAATCACAACATGAAGAAATAAACTACCCTGAGAGTTTAAGTTGGTAATGAATGCTGAAAAGAATGTCAGCAGAAGAACAGGTTGGAGAGAGGCAGGAACGGAAGCAGGAGAGCATTTAGGAGGCCACTGCAGTAGCCCCGGGGAGAGATGTTAGTGGGAGCGAAGAGAGTAATGTTTGTGAAGATGGATGTAAGTGGGTGGATGCTGAGTACATTTTGGAAATAGAAACATTAAGATTTGCTCATGGATTGGTTGTAGGAAATGAAGGGAAGAGAGAAATCAGTGTGAATCCTAAGTTTTGGGTTTGATCACCGGAGCTCTTAGTAAGACGTATAAGACCAGGTGAGAAAAGCTGTTTGGGTTTTTAGTGGGGTGGAGGCCGGGGTCGGGGACGAGGTGGGTGGTTAGCTCAGCTGGGCTGTATTTCCCAGTCTCCCTCACTGTGAGTTCCTAAACTACTTCAGCAATATTTAATTCTTCAGTTACTTCAGTTGTTCCCTAAAGCCACCACCCATGGAAGACCAGGAAAGCCAGCCTCAGAAGGATGGGTCCTCCATCGTCTTGGGAAGATGGAACAATAAAAAGACTGTGACATGATCAGATAGTAAGTCACCCAGACTTTAACCTATCAGAGAGCTAAGTCTGGGCACTTACTGCCAAGGTGAGCTTTGCAGTTTTAATTTCTTAACTAGGCCTTCTTTGGATAGAACATCCATGTTAAAAGGAAAAGGGGTAAATAATATTGCCCTTTCTGATCCAAAGAGCCTTTTCCAAAACATTGCCGTGTGCCGGAGAGATGGCTAAAAATGTATTCGCCTTTTCAGATGGTAACTGAAGTCCATGGGAAGAAATAAAGAGCATAGGAGGTGGTAAATGTGGGGTAAAATGTGTTCGCCTTTTTAATTTTATTTCATTATTCAGAGAATATGTCCTTCTGTTCTAACAAATAAAGCAGCCACAGGGCTGCCTAGGGAACAAGGAGTTGCAGCCAGACAGCCAGGAAAAGCAGAGAATGTGCAACTGAGCAGGACCCTATGGGGCTTGTCTGGGACAGACCTGTCCCCGTTTCCTCTGCTGTAGCTCCTCTCTGAAGTACCCAGATAAAAGGATCTGATGTACGTTTCCTGAGTTGTTTTACAGATACTAAGACCCCCACCAAATGGAAGAAATTAACTACTTGATGATCATGAGCATGTGGCACCCACCCCCTCCACTGGTGCCTAAGGATTGATAATGTTAACCCTTGTGACACCATCCTGCTACCTCACCGTCAACCAATCAGAGGATTGAGCATGAGCGGAAGATCACACACTCCAGGACACCCCTTCCTCACTTGGTATTTAGAAATGCTTTGCCGAAACTCATCTGGGAGTTCGGGTGCTTTAAGTGCTGGCTGTCCTGAGCTCCTGCGATAAACCCTGCACTTTCCTTCACCACAGCCCAGTAACAGTAGTCGGCTTTCGTTTACTGCGCTCAGGCAAGGGGACCCAAGTTTGGTTCAGTAACAAACATAGGCTTCAGGTGCACAGGACGGTTCCTAGCCTGGCATCCAACAGCTTTGTGCCCCGGGACAAATGGGGGAGCCTCACCTTTTTGAGGGTGTGTTGTGAGGATTAAGTTACCTACAAATGTAGGTAACGTGCCGTGTGCCACGTAATAATAGTGCTCGGCATTTCATGCACACAATTTGTAATCAATAAAGCAGTCCTGCCAGGTGAGCCTTGTCAGCCTCCTTCACAGATAAAAAGGGAGACGAGACGGCCAAAGGCCACACGGCTCCTAACAGCAGAGCTGCAATTTGAAACTGTGCCGGCCTGTCTATGAGAACTTGTGCTCTGTCCTCTGCACCACGAGTAAGTACTCAGGACATGTTAATTTCCTTCCTGTAATGACGGATGGTGAGTGACTTCACACTCACCTTTTTATAGCAAAGGTGTCTCAGCACCTCCAAGTTGTCTGCGCTTGTGCCAGGATCAATGACAGCACCCTAGATACAAATCTGCAAAATTTCCTGCTTGTTTCTTTTAACCTTTTTTCTTAGCAGTAGCCGTCTTTTGAGTTGTGCCACAATATTAAAATTCCTCTGAGGGTAAT